CACTTTGTGTATGCTTCGAAGTTGCATAGAAATGTCAAGTATTGATATGATATCAAAGAACTATCATAACTCAATTTTCAGTCACTTGCCATCAGATAAAAAAACACTTTATTGATGATATGTCTATCACAAGGGTGATCCTTGGTGATCTGATGTCTTATTATGCTACACGAACCCACTTATGCAGAATTATAAAGCTGGACAAATAACCTTTAGTCATTAATACTTCAAATTAATCAATATAATATCCATTATTTTTTTGGCTATACATAGTAGAATTGCTACTTCTCAATAATAGAATACAAGTGTTACGTTTTTCTGTGTTTACAATAAATAAGATTTAACTTTTTTATGTAAGTGGCACAAAATTTGTTATATTTAACCATTCACACAATTGTTATACTTGGGTATTTTATGTGCATTTTAATGGAATGGGAATTGTTTATTGTTATTAATCTTAGTGAGCATGTTCAAACTGTTACATATATTTATATATTTATATTTGCATATGCCTTCTTTATTTAAACAAAATTATAACTGGCATATGAACTTAAGCCTGCAGCATAGTAACACTGGCATTGGAATATTCATTGTAGAAATGTGCCATAAATTGACTTTACATGACATTTGCAAGCAACATAGCCCATAGTCTCTTTGATCTTCCATCTCATGCAATAGCATCTAACCTTCCTTGACCTTTGTGGTTGTTATTGGTTAGTTTAACTACAGTATCAACATTGTCAAATACTTTTGCAATGGCCCTGCCTCTCAGGCGATGTTAGGCTGCAGCCAACAAATTGTGAGTAACTGAGGCTGACAACACATTACAGCCTTGCCATAACCAATCATTGTCTCTGCAGGGCAAGATGGCAGCTAAATTACAAGAGGATATGTAACAACATGTCTCTTAAATTGCCATAGCAGCCCAAACAATTCAAGGAAAACAATGTGTTATATATAGAGAAACAACATTTCAAGTATAATATATCTCTTTTGCACAATCTTCAATTTGGTTGCTCTGATATGTACGCGACTAAGCAACTAAGTAAGCGAGTGCTTGGAGCTATTGCTAAATTTTGGGATCCTGTTAGAGCAACGTTCTGCAACCTTTTAGCACCTGGGGACCAGCGAAAAGAGGAGAAATATTTCGCGGACTGGTGTCAGCCAGAAATAAAACCCAATGGTATGTGTGAGGGATGCAGTATGTGTGTGTGTGTGAGGGGTGCTGTGTGTGTGAGGGGGGCTGTGTGTGTGAGGGTTGCAGTTTGTGTCTGTGTGTGAGTGTGTGCGTGTGTGTTTGTGTGAGGGGTGCAGTTTGTGTGTGTGTGTGTATGGGGGACAGTGTGTGTGTGTGGGGCAGTGTGTGTGTTTGTATGAGGGGCAGTGTGTGTATATAGGGGGTAGTGTGTGTATATAGAGGGCAGTATGTGTGTATCAGGGCAGTGTGTGTGTATGGGGGCAGTGTGTGTGTGTGTGTGTGTGTATAGGGGGTAGTGTGTGTGTATGAGGGACAGTGTGTGTGTATGGGGGGGCAGTGTGTGTGTGTATGGTGGGCAGTGGGTGTGTATGGGGGGGCAGTGTGTGTGTATGTGATCAGTGTGTGTATGGGGGGCAGTGTGTGTGTATGGAGGGCAGTGTGTGTGTATGGGGGGCAGTGTGTGTATGTGCATGGGGGCAGTGTGTTTATATAGGGGCAGTGTGTGTGTATAGGGAAGTGTGTGTGTTTATAGGGGGGAAGTGTGTGTGTGTATGGGGGCAGTGTGTGTATATGGGGCAGTGTGTGTGTGTGTGTGAGGGTGGGGCAGTGGGTATTGGGCAGTCTGTGTATAGGGGAAGTGTGTGTGTATGGGGGCAGTGTGTGTGGATGGTGGGAGTGTGTGTACGGGAGGCAGTGTGTGTATGGGGGGCAGTGTGTGTATGGGGGGCAGTGTGTTTCAAGGGGAGAATGATTGTGGGTTTGTGGGGTTGGAGGGTAGATTAATAAATATATATTAATTAATGTTAATATTCAATTTTAATGTTAAGTATATATTTAACTAATTAAAAGAAAAATTTTAATTTTGATATCTCCCCTCCCTGCTTACCTTTGCCTAGGAGGAGGGACCCTACCTGCAATCCATGGTGGTCCAGTGGGGAAGCCCTGGTGGTCCCAGTGGTGAGTGTGAACTCTAGCAGCCTCAGGAGTTGCTAGATTTCACTGCTTCAAGATCCAAAATGTTGCCATGGTAACCGGGGCAAAACTCAGAGCTCGCAAGGGGAGAACCCGGTGGACCTGAGGGTTAGAGCTCCCTGGGGCTTCTCTTCCTCCCTCCCCTGCCAGGAGTACACTGCAAGCGGGCCGGAGAGGGAGATCTCTGATCTCTTCTCCAGTCCTGCAGAGCTGGCAGGGGAGAGGGATGCACATTTCCCGGTGCTATGATCATAGCATCATAGCTTTGGGGAAATATCTTGCAGTAATTTATTGCCAGTCTGCAAAAGCTTTTACCCGATGGTATAGTCGGATGAAAGCTTTCGCGGATCGACATAAATTCTTGCGAGCCGGCCCCAGTCGGGACCCCTGTGTTAGAGGATGGAGACCAATGCAAGCTTAATGCAGGTTTAGTATAACATAGCATTGTAGTAAGTAATACATTTGTTATGTTTTTTTTTTACAGTGCTGGAGAGGCGCGATCACGTGGCCTTGCATGATTGCTGCAGTCACTAAAGTTTGGGCCATATGGGGGGACTCACCTCACTGCAGATTCTGATCTGGTCTACCTTTCTTGGTACTCCATGCTGAATTAATGCTACGGAGGCTATTATTAGCTCAGCATCCAAGTATTGCAAAATTGACGCAAACATGTGTGTGATTGCATCTTCCATGTGCATGCACATTTTGGTATCACAAGGTCAGTTCTGGCCAATTATTGCCCTCCTAGGGCCAATTAAACTTAATTTAGGTTGTCATCATTGTTCTGTCATGTTTTCCATTTTCTGGTTATCAAAAAGTGCATTTATTTTTATTTCTATTTGAAATTTTGAAGACCTCCAGAACTATTACCTCCATCACTGAAATTCGGTGACTAAAAAAGACAATGGAGGTTTCTTCAACATAAGTTGCCCATTGAACTGGCATGTGTGCTAGTTATAGATGCTTCATTGACACAAGTTTTAGAGCTCCCCACAATCCATCGCTGCTTACCACTGGTTCTCTAGGTGCAGGAGCAGTGGTAGACTATGTGCATTGGGCACATCTGTCACTTCTTCCCACATGGTATTCAAGTGCATGGCATTTGTATTGGTAGAAGAGGATGTGACATCAAATCCATTCTGTTTCTGGATCAGGCCAGCTCCCTCTGAGAATACTGTTCAGGCATCAGTGACAGGCAATGGCAATGCACACTGCCAGCCATTGCCCCTGTGCTTATATCAACAACAGCAGATACAGGCTCTGTGGGGGAAAAGAAAGCCAAGGGCTCTAGACAAAGGCCCCAGTCTAACATCTTGCCTAAGGTCTTGCAGATTCATTTCCAGATGCAAAATGAATGGTTTACTTGCACTGCTTTTCATGCTAAACTGACCCCAAAGACAAAATGTACTTGCTAAAATTGCTCTATTTATTGGTTGACACTTTATGGGAACAAATTCTGACTCCCACTACTTCATGTATATATGTTGATCATATATTACGAATCATGCATCTCTTGCATTTTGTGTTGTGCTAATAAAATGAATATAATATTAAAATATATGCTACTTAAAAGGACACTACAGGCACCAAAACCACATTGCTTAATGATGCAGTTTTGGTGTATAGATTATGCCCCTGCAGTCTTACTGCTCAATTCTCTGCCATTTAGGAGTTAAATCACTTTTGTTTTTTAATATGCTGCCATAGCCACACCTCCCTTGGCTGTGACTCAAACAGACTACATGAAAAAAAAGTCATTTTCAATCAGATGCAAACTTACTATAGAAGTGTTTTTATCTCCTGCTCTGTATATTGAACTAAATCAGACAAAGGAGGCTCCTGCAGCATATAGAAGGCTATTAACAGAGCAGTAGAAATTCTAAATTAAACAGACTGTGCAATAAAGGAAGTTTAAACATTAGATCTCTCTTTACAGGATGTGTTTAGGAAGGGTGTGCAAGTAACACAGGGATGTGTGGCTGTGGCTGCATAAGCAAACTGATTTAGCTAAATGGCAGATAATTTAGTGAGTCTATAGGGGCCTGATCTATACACCAAAACTGTCTTCATTAAGCTAGAGTTGTTTTGGTGCATATAGTGTCCCTTTTAGTACATATAATGTGCCTTTTTGTTTACAGAATATTACTAGAGTTGAGCGGACACCTGGATGTTCGGCTCTGGCGGGTTCGGCCGAACTTTGAAAAAAGTCCGGGTTCGTGCTCGAACTTGACCCCGAACCCGAACCCCATTGAAGTCAATGGGGACCCGAACTTTTGGGCACAAAAATGCCTCTAAAAAAGTCATGGAAAGGGCTAGAGGGCTGCAAAAGGAAGTAAAATGTGGGTAAGAGTAGGACAAGTGCCCTGCCAACAAATGTGGATAGGGAAATCACTTAAAATAACATAAAATACATAAAAATTAAAAATACAGCTGAGCCATAAAATAGCACTAGATGGAATAATTGATTTTAGCTTTGGAAGAACTAAAATCAAAATCTAAAGCATGGCTGTCAGGAGGATCACCAGAATTATCCATTTTAGAGACGGTTGGAGTGCAGGGTATTCTCTTTCATTGTTCAAACTGAGCTCAACTCCTGATGCATGGAGAAAAGGCCTTCACAAGCCTCTGCTATTGTGTACATAGGTTATACTAAGTGACCCATAGGTTGAGGAGGTGGTGACCGTGGCGGTGTAGGTGGAAGCGGCGGTGGAGGAGGTGGTAGCCAACACTGTTTTTTATATATATATATATATATTATTTTTTTTTATTGGGGTGGCCCCCAAAATATTGAGACATATAAAAAAAGACAACTCTGTTCCGCAGAGCGACTGACACGTGTGCGTGCTGCAGCTGAAACTCCACTATCGCCTGCTGCTGTTTGCACAGTCTCACGTGGCGGTGAGCGGGAAGGCCGAAGTTATGCTGCAGACAGGCGAGCAGCAGGAGATTTGCAGGAAGTGCGCAAGGAGGTGTAATGGCACCTGGCATATTACTGAAAGCCACCCTCATTGGAGATTGTCAGCAGGACCTTTTTGGAGGTGCAAGCCTATGTCCTTGCCAATAGACAGAGGGTGACCTCCATGAACCCAGATGAAGGAAGAAGGCAACAGAGGGGACCAGGAAGCACAACCACCCTAGCCCACAAGCTACCTTACAATGCCTTCAAAGACTTCAAGGAAGCAGAAGAAGGCATTGATTACTTTTTACAAGACTTTAAGCGCCAGTGCTTACACCAAGAAAGGGACCCCAGCGACTGGGTCACCATCCTGGCCAGCAAACTAGTGGGGACGGCAACGGATATTTACCAGGCTGTACCAGAAGAGCAGATCAGACACTATCCCCAAATCCTCCCGAGCAATACCGCCGAAAGTTTAAGGAGACCAGGAAAGGGGAGAAGGACTCCCATGCGGAGTTGGCATGTCGCATCACAAGGGCCACCCAGACCTGGCTCAACTCCCATCAAGCCAAGTTCCTGGAGGAGATAACCCAGCTCGTCATGCTAGAGCACTTTTCAATGGGCTCTCCAACGACAAAGCGACAACGCATTCGTATGTCATCCATATCAACCTTCGATGCCATTTACTGCGCCTACCACAGTGACCACGGGTAACAGGGAATCAGGGTTGGATTACAGAGAGGGAATCTAAGAAACGGCTACCACATGCAAGGAAGGCAGCAGGCGCGCAAAAGACCCACTCCCGACGCGGGAAGGTAGTGGCGTCAAATAGCAATACAGGACTATTTAGAGGCCCTGTAATTGTAATGAGTCCACTTGAAATCCTATAACTCTGATCAATTGGAGGGCAAGTCTGGTGACCCCTGCGTGCTGCAGCTGAAACTCCACTATCACCTGCTGCTGCTCGCACAGTCTCTCCAGCATGTGCAAGGTTGAGTTCCACCTTGTGGGCACATCGCATATCAGGTGGTGAGCGGGAAGGCCAAAGTTACACTGCAGTGCAGACAGGCGAGCAGCAGCAGGGTGCGAACGTAGAAAGCGCTCACAGCCGCTACAGTGAATGTCACATCCTGTTCCAAGTTGCGGATCAGTTTGGCAATGGCTTATGGTATCCAGTACTCTTTTTACTAAAGCTGCATCAGGGTCCAGTTCGGGTTCGCTCAACTCTGTTATTGATCCTTTGATCGCTACATCTGTTACTTGGATAACTGGTAATTCCCGAGCTAATACATGCTGACGAGCGCTAGGGGACAGTCACTCCACTTTTGCACCTTGCACCCTCTAACGCTGTGCTGGTGCCTCTGTGCGACCAGCGCCTCCTCCTCCAAACTGCACACGTCACTCGCATGACCTTGATTCCATGTGGGGTCTAGGACCTCATCATCCTCCACATCATCCTCCACCCACTCCTCAACCCTGCCCTCCTTGCCGGTCTGCACACTGCAGAAAGCCACAGCAGTTGGCACCTGTATTTTTCCAGCATGTAAACTCTGCAAAGGACATATGGGAATTGTTTTATAATTGTATCCAGGCAACAGTTTTCCCTATAAACTGACCTCTCAGTTTGACTTGTGAGGGTATAGCCCCCGAATTACAATATTGTTATATTGGTATTTGACACTTTTGTTTGACTGTCAGATATGAAGTGCAGGCCGCAAATGTACTATTTAGCACCAAAAAAAAATTAGAATTTGTCAAACTGCGCTGTAACCGTAGTATTTGACGCTTCTATTTGACTCTCAGATATGAAGTGCACCTCCAAAATGTACTATTTAGCAGATTAGCAGCAAAACAATTAGAATGTTTACAACTGCACTGTAAGCGCACTATTTGATGCTTCTATTTGTCTCTCAGATATGAAGAGCACGCCCCAAATGTACTATTTAGCAGTTTAGCACCAAAACAATTTGAATTTTTACAACTGTGCTGTAAGCGCACTATTTGACGCTTCTATTTGACTCTCAGATATGAAGAGCACGCCCCAAATGTACAATTTAGCAGATTAGCAGCAAAACAATTAGAATTTTTACAACTGCGCAGTAAGCGCACTATTTGACGCTTTTATTTGACTCTCAGATATGAAGAGCACGCCGAAAATGTACTATTTAGCACTTTAGCAGCAAAACAATTAGAATGTTTACAACTGCGCTATAAGCGCACTATTTGACGCTTCTATTTTACTCTCAGATATGAAGAGCATGCCCAAAATTTACTATTTAGCAGATTAGCAGCAAAACAATTAGAATTTTCACAACTGCACTGTAAGCGCACTATTTGACGCTTCTTTTTGACTCTCAGATATGAAGAGCAAGCCCAAAATTTATTATTTAGCAGTTTAGCAGCAAAACAATTAGAATTTTTACAACTGCGCTGTAAGCGCACTATTTGACGCTTCTATTTGACTCTCAGATATGAAGTGCAGGCCGCAAATGTACTATTTAGCAGTTTAGCACCAAAACAATTAGAATGTTTACAACTGCGCTGTAAGCGCACTATTTGACGCTTTTGTTTGACTATCAGATATGAAGAGCACACCGATAATGTACTATTTAGCACTTTAGCAGCAAAACAATTAGAATGTTTACAACTGCGCTGTAAGCGCACTATTTGACGCTTTTGTTTGACTCTCAGATATGAAGTGCACCCCACTAAAATACTATTTAGCAGTTTAGCACCACAAAAATTTTAAGTTTTAAAACTGCAACGTGACAGCAGTATTTTACGCTTCTATTTGACTCTCAGATATGAAGAGCACGCCCCAAATTTTACTAATTAGCATTTTAGCACCCCAAAAAATTGACTTTTTAAAACTTAGATGTAACCGCAGTATTTGATGCTTCTATTTGACTCTCATATATGAAGTGCACTCCACTAATGTACTAGTTTGTAGAATTCTTTCCTAAGCTGTCCCTCACAGATGCAGCATCCTCTCCCTACACTAATAAGACCTCATGTGCGTGCGGCGCTACGCGACTCCAGCTTATATATAGAGCCTGAGTCACATGCTGCACTGGCCAATCACAGCCATGCCATTAGTAGGCATGGCTGTGATGGCTTCTAAGGGCACATGAGTCAAACGCTTGTTGATTGGCTGCCCTGCAGCCTTTCAAAACGCGCCATTAAATTGCCGAACACCAAACTCCAACTCGAACATACAGTAATATGTCCATGTTCGGGTCCGGGGTACAAAAAACTTAATGTTAGGTACGAAGCCGAACTTTACAGTCTGGGTTCGCTCAACTCTACTTATTACATTTTTCTACAAGGAGAATATTGCAACCCTCTCAACATTTACTGCTTTAACAAAATAATGCAAATTTAAGTGCACATTTATTCACCAAATTGCAAATAGATAAGGGAGTAGGAGATGTTTCTTTTTTTCAGTTTCTTTATTTTGGTTCAAAATTATTTTGTCAGTTCCCTGTCATTCCAGGAATAGTGAATAACCTCACTTACCTTTCTAGTCAAATATCATTGGTGAAACTCTCAAACACTGCTTAGGGGGAGCACTGTCCTAAATTCATTTTCATCTCAATGAAATGGTCTGAGTGCATTGCCCCTGTCATTTTAACCGTGCAATGTAAAACATTGCAGTTGGTTTTAGAATGTTTACATTGCTGGGTTATGTCCACGCTGCAGGGACAGCCAGTAGAGGTGCTTCCTCCACACTTACTTAGTGCTCGATGTGTATGCGCATCATGGACCCAATGCTCATTAATGCATTGGATTGATCGCTGGAGGAGGACATTTCTCTTTGATGATGTCAAATAAGACAGAGGGGTTAGCACCACTGAGGAAGCCTTAAAGGGACACTTCACTGCCAAAATATAAAATAAATATAAATCACTGTTTAGTATACATACTCTAAATGAACACTTACATATATTACATTATGCATTTTCTCATTGGGTTTTATCTAAAAACAGCTTGTAAAATCTGCAGATCTCTTGTCTGAAGCCATGGCTAGACCTCCCCTTCGAACCCTGTACAGACTTTCTGTGGATGTCCAGTCGCAGACTTCCCAATGCAGTTCAATGAAAAGTCTTTGCAAGTCATGTGCTCTGGGCATTCGCTGCCTCTTGAGTTTAGCTATACTGAGCTAACCAAACCAGGAAGTAACAGTACTTGTCATCTGCTTGAAAGCCTAGAGGATGTAACCAGGTTAATTTATAAGAGTGTCAATTCTATTTAAAACTGCACTTTATGAAAAGTGAAAAAATAGGACATACTTTTCAAAATAAAGCTTTTCAGCAAGCTAAAGTGATTTAGGGGTCTGGAGTGTCTCTTTAGGTAAAACTTTAATTTTGTAATTTTTTGTTGCAGGGGAAGCTATGGACAGTGACACCATAACATTGGGAACGCAGGTTTTTATTCCTAATGCTATAGTGTTCCTTTAAGTTGGGTGTTTAAATTTAAGATCCAAGATTTTCCCCCAGCAGCATTGTGATTTTTCTATATTTTAACAGCATTCAATTTCTACATGGCTTTCCATTTTAATTAAACAGAGTCCTATACATTTAATTAAATACAATCACAAAATCTGCACTCATTAATATCCAAATATTCTCTACAAAAACATAAAGGAATAACTGGGCAAATGGGGAATGCAACCACAAAGGCAACCAAACTCATCTTGTGGGACATATAACTTATTATGCAGAGCTCATTATCAGTCCTCTTGTGTGCAAAAGAAACACCTTGAGATCACATCATTAGCTTCCTACACATTCATTACCCTGCAAATGGAAAAGCTATTACAAAACCACAGGGATAAAAATATCAGGTTCATGTGTTTGCTTGCACAAATATGTCTAAAACTCACAGGAAACAGCTAAACAATGCTGCCAACATGAAAAATGTATTCAGAAATTTACTGAATAGTAAGTAAGCAAGTGGTGCAAATTAGTACCTCTGTTTAATGTTTAATATTTATGTATAATAATTTAACATATTTACTGTTTTTGGTTTGGAAATATTCTCAGGGATTTTGTATGTGTGCATGCTTGCATATGTATGGTTTGGTGTATGCATATCCATATGCAAATGCATATACTCATATTTTGTATTTGTTTAGATTGATTTCAAAGGCGCACCCCAGACTGCTAAAACATTTTA